TTTTGCGTTGTTTTATGAAAATGTTAAAATATGTAGGGTGGTGTTACTAGTTTCTGTAAGTAATTCCTGGGTTTTTCTCTCACCCAGTTGTTCTGAGGATTTTGGAAACTATTCTGTCTCCCCTGGGCTGGAAAATAGTGAAAACTATTGGGATGTGGACGCTAAGCATAAATTTCTGTGCTGGTTGACTGAACTAATTCATTCCTCTCTTGAGTCTCCTTTTTCTTCAAGTTCCAGTACTGAGACACAGCAAAAGAATTAATTATTACTCGGTTGTAATCAAAATGCCAAAACCAGTGAATGCGTTGCAAGGAAAGTAGATTCCTTAAGCTTTGCTTTTTAAAATATGGTTAAGCCAGACACATTTTTAATATGGCCAAGATGATTTAAATATAAGCTGTTCTGAAAATAGATGCATTTTAATACCCTGGAGCAGTGTTTCTCAAGCTGAGCAATTTTAAGATGTGTGGACTTCAACTCCCAGAATTCCCTAGCCAGCCATGTTTTTTAAAAATGCCAAGGTTGAAAACCCTGCCCTGGAGTGAAATTTGGGGACGAGATGGGATAACTGAATGGGGTCAAAAGGTAGAGAAGATGCTCAAATGGATGATTTTTTTATTAGTATCTTGCATATTTGTTCCCCAAAATCCAGAGCGGTTTTCTTGTGCGTTTTAAAATGATGAATTTTGCAGGGAAATATGATGGTTGAACATATACACATCTACAACTTTCAAAGATTTTTTTAAAATTCTATTTGAAACTGTGGAAGGGTGAGGCTGAATACCAATCCTGCATTGCATATGTTTTATGTTCTCAAAAGCTAAATTGAAATGCTGGGTTCTTCCTCCAGGGATAAAATTAGTGGAGACTGCATTTGTCTTCATCCTTTTATACTCTTCAGGGAATTATTCAACAGTTTAGAGTAGAAAATGAATACAGTGATCTAACTTTTCCTCCTTCAGACCACTTTGAAGTAATTTCTTCAGCAATTCTGTAATTGGAAAAAGAATTATTTGAGTTAGCTGGTTAACCCCCCCCCCTTCAGCCCACGCTTCCCCCTGCCTTTTCCAATTATAGCCATTGCGGTTCAAACAAATCTGGCAAAGACCAGGTTGGAGAAGATTGAGCCATAGGATAAAGATTCTTCTATAATCTCTTTAATCTTGTTTCTTATTATGAACTTCCATGTAAGTGGTTTGGGGTTTTTTTTTCCAGAGGGGGAGCAAAAAAATAATTCTAGATCTTTGAATTTCTCAAATTCCCATGCGACTTTCAGGTTATCTTTCAGGTTAACTAACTTTTTATAGGCAAGATCATTTCTCTATATTCTCCTTGTATTTTCATGACCCAAATTTGGGTCTCTTTATGAAAATTATACTTCAGCATTTGATTCGAATTTTGGTTTGTATTGCTAGTTTGGTTTCTGCCCATTCTTTTTCTAAGGAGCACAAAATGACTTTTATTCCAACTTTTTATTTTATCTTTCCAACAAATCTGTGGGGTAGGCTAGTCAGAGAAGCTACAGCAGCAACCACAACCGGTAAGCCTTAGGGCTATGTTGATTTACCTCCATTTTAAACCTCGCCCTTCACCTATTGGGCTGCATTTGGCACTCTCCGTGTTTCTCAACTCTAGCAACTTCAAGATATGTAGACTTCAACTCTCAGAAGTTCCCAGTTTGTGTGGAAGCTGGCTGGGGAATTCTGGGAGTTGAAATCCACATGTCTTAAAGTTGCCAAGAGACTGCTCTAAGGGATAAAGGACTTCATGTAACTTCAAAATTATCTTGGTCACTCCCTTTAGAAAGCTCATTAACAAAACAAATTGCAGGTTAGATGAATGTTGTCTCTCTCAATAGAAATTAGAGGTACCCTTGAATGTATAAACAAAGAGTGGCCATCCTATTTGGCTACTCATTGATAAACAGAGAAGTAGATAGTTTTACTAGGTTTGTCACTTACAGTGGGAACATGGTATATGTGGGATTCACCAATAAATTCCAGATTTGTATTCATGCATTTGCAAATTTTATATAAACCTCCAACATCAAATTCTGCATTGGTACTGCAAAGCCACAGACATGCTGGATGAAATACTCTGTTGCCTTCAATACAGCAGTTTCTGGCTTACTTTCTAATATCGTGGCAATCTTTCATAGCAATTTACAGCACTAATTCCTCCTTCTTAAATCTGACGTTTAGCTGCTTGGAACCTTAGAATCCCCTGAAAATTACAAACTATCAAACTCTGCATAAATTGTTGAGCCTGAGAAAGCTGGATTTGAGAAAGTATGTCAAATTACGGATCAAGTGTAAAACTGATTAGGTGACTTTGGACGCTGTCATGGGTTCTTTTACATATTATATCCAAGTCAGTGGGTTCCAAAATCCAAGAGAGCCAATACAACCACACAGGTCCTTAGGCAACACACACATAAGCACTCAAAGGCTAGTCCTCACTGCTCACTACTCCATTCCTTCCCACTTCTACTACATTACTGCTCCAACTACTACTTACAAGTCCTACTTCTGGAAATCAGTATATCTGCTTTATGCTGCTTTATAACACATACACCTCTTTAACTCTCTCTCTCTCACATACCAACACTCCCACCTTCAGCTGCTTCCCTGCTCAGCTTTTATAGGCAACAATTGCTGTAGTGGCTAGAAAGAGGACATAAAGGGACAGGACAACAGTAGCACAAGTGCTGGCCTCTCACAAATAACCCCTGTGCGAGTGAGCTTGGCAAAAAAACAAACAAATGAGGGAGATTTTCTATATTTCTTTTCTTTTTCCTTTGAAAGTTATGTTTAGCCCCTACACCAGGGGTGTCAAACTGGTGGCCCACAGGCCAGATGTGTCACGCAGAGGCCACGCCCACCCCGGCTCTGCAAAGGCAAAAAACATCACAATAAGTCACGGTACGTCACACAACACGTTCTAGTTTGACACCCGTGCCCTACACTCTCGGGTTTTAAGCAATCCATAAAGATGCATCTTTTTCAGTCAGGTTGATAATTGTGAGATGATTTTAGTATTTATTTTTATTGTGACTTATGATCTGTCTCTTAATAGTTTATATTGTTTTTTAACTTCTGTAAGCTGCTGTAAGAACTTGCTAAAGCATAAATCAAATAAATGCTTGCAAGATTTCAAGGGATGGGACTGGAAAAGAGCTTCTTTTTCCAATTTGAGTACATAATACATCGGAGCAGTGTTTCTCAATTTTAGCTTTTTTAAAAAATATGTGGACTTCAACTCCCAGAATTCCCTAGCCAGGTGGCTGGCTAGGGAATTCTGAAAGTTGAAGTCCACATCTTAAAAGTTGCCAAGATTAAGAAATGCTGCATCAGAGACTGAAGATTGCTAGGCTTAGTGTGGTATATCATCTTAAAATCACTGACAGAGAATGTGGATTGTAAGCCATGGTTTTAATAATGGTTTGCTGAACAAACCATAGTGGCTTGGTTTTTATGTCATATAAAGCAGTAAACCACAGATTATAAATAATGGCTAGATTCTCAAGTTGCATTAAACCAAAAGCAAATTAAATTTATGGATTAAACTAATTAGATGCCACAGGAGGAACCTGCTCCTCCTATGCTGAAAAAGCTCATTTTGGCCACACATAAGCATTGTAGAAGCTCTGCTGGATTTGACATTGGTCCATCACCCCTGGATTCATTCCCTTCTCTCTGGTCAGACAGCTTGACCTGGGGAAGTTTGCAAACTGAACGTAATGGATGATGAGAGTCTTGCTTCTGATCTTCAATGTATTAAAATCTGTCTCTGATTGTAGAACAGGGGTCTTCAAACTTGACTCTTTTATGACTTGTGGACTTCAACTCCCAGAATTCCTCAGCCAGCATGCCTGGCTGAGGAATTCTGGGTGTTGAAGTCCACAAGTCATAAAAGGGCCAAGTTCGAAGACCCCTGTTCTGGAAGGTCTAATTTCAATACTTCCGATTATCTTCTGGACTACTCTCTCTTAACATGTCTGCTTTAAAAATAAGCCCATCCTTTAAAAAAAACCTCAGTATCACCTGGGATGCTGCAGTAATAAGTGTTGTGGTTTGGTTGTTGCTTTCCTGATAGTACTGGCTTGGGAGCAGAGGAATTGGGAGGTAAATCTGTAAATCCAAAGTCCTTCAAGATGAACCAGCAGATTGGCCCCAGCTGCATCAAATGTTTCCCCATTCTTTTGTAAACTGAGCTCTAGCAACCGTCACAAGCATGGAATGAGACGTACCATGGGGAAATCCTTGGAGGAAAATGACTGTGGGAGTTGAATCTTTGTTTTTAAAAATAACTCTCACTGCAGTTTTCTGGTGTTCACTTACATTGCCTGAATGCTGGTACATCTCTTTAAGGCAACATTCCTTTGATGAAGGGTGCTCAACCCTGAACTCTTCTTTGCTTCTCTTTCAGGCAAAAGTGATGAAGGGAAGCCCGGAGGTTGGGCTTGTCATAGTGTCCATCACTGGGCCCTTGAAAAAAGGTAAGAAAAGGCTGGGGAAGAGCTGGGCCAAGACATTAGCTGGGATCATACATCCATCATCCTGATATGAGGGGGGTGGCCAATCCACTCCCTGGACATCACCTGCAGTCCATCCAATTGTAGCAAGATCAACATGACTGAATTTTATTAGCACAGTTTTGTAGTACTTTATTAAAAAATTAAAGGAGGGAAAGTGGAAACAAAAGACCTCTGGAGGCTTCAGTTTCTCCCCCTCAACTCTTCAGATGGTCTTCTGCACCCTTTTGGATTATCGGGCTGAACTGTGATCCTAAAAGCATGCTGTAAGCATGGATCGTAACTCTACCATCATTCCTGACCCTCCTTTCTGTTTGAGAAATCCCAGCTGTATCATTGGAGGCAGCTGTTGAATGGCCTTGCTGTAACACCGCCCCCTCCCGCCCCCCTCAAAATTGGTGGTGGGTCTTTTATTGTGGCAGGAGCATGAAACTTGGCATGTGATTCTCTCTGCCCAAAGGAAACCATGTCTGAAATTGAGCTGCAGAGCAAGATGAAGCCGGAAGGGGATGGCCATGAGCCAAGGACACCCCAGGACCTTCTGCAGAGACTCCGGGAGCTAGAGGTACAGGGCCTCATCTTGTCTTGCTGATTTAAGGGGTTCTAGAGACCAGAGCACCAGCTGAATGAAAGGCTGGCAGAAGAAGTGAATTGAGATCCCATTGCAAGCAATATGGCTATGTAGTATCTATTTCACTTGAATGTGAGCTGCCTCCCAGCATTGGCACATATAGATGGTCTTCAACTTAAAATCACTTGCTTACTGACTGAAGTTCTGACAGACCTACTGGGTGGTACCTACGTGGATTAGAAGTACTGAGTGTTTTGAGTGCATTGGGGCACATTTATAGTCATTTGCATCAACTCACTATCATGGAGCCACGATTTCTGATGGTTTTGCTGAAACGCAGCATTTATCTCGATTTTTCAGCAAAACTGTCTGTTAGCGAAGTATGGATCCACTGAACAACCATGGAGTTTCATTACCATAACTCAAGGACTACCTGTACAGAAATAATGTGAATGTTATATGAGCCCACTGGGGGAGCACAGGCTCGTATAGTTGAATGATCTAAATTAGTTGTTTTGCTCCCTTACTGTTACAAGCAAGAGTCGTTTACTCCCGATTCTCCAGAATTGGCACCCTTTTCCAACATGGCGTACAGGGAAGGTAAAATACTCACACCAGACACATATAAGCCCAAGTGAATCCATTATATGAGTCAGGTCATGTGGATTCCTTTTCTGCCTCTTCCTAATGTGAGTTATATGCACTTTGCACAAACATTGTATTCTGGGTTTTTGAGGGGGGTACATGACACATGTCTACAAGGGATGGGACAGCAATCTAGTTGACCTGCTGCTCTGGCTTTTGAAGGGGGGTGCCAGCCATTGAACTTAGTGATCTTAGCCCCTCACTCTTTTCCCATGGGCACAGGTAGGAAACATAGCTTTGCAATGCTGTAGAATAGGAATTTTCAAGGGCAAGAGAAGTGGGGTGGAGCAGAGAGAAGAAGGAAAGTTGTCCACCCTTCCTTTCTTTTCCCATATGCCTCCTGGAGAAGAAACTTGAGGTCCTCGTTTTTTTCACCAGCAAGCCTGACTCTTCTTCTCTATGTCCTCAGGCAGAGAATTTGGCTTTGGTGCAAGCCAATGAGAACCAGCGGGAAACCTACGAACGCTGCCTGGATGAGGTACTGCTTTTTCTTCTCTTTCTCAGACAGCACCTTCTGATGGAGGCATGGCTTCTCCCCTTGTGCTTATACCTGTTCTTCCTCCTTCTGCAGGTAGCCAACCACGTGGTGCAAGCGCTGTTAAATCAAAAAGTGAGTCCGTCTCCAGGCTTGGTCTTTGGGGGTTAAAATTTTGAGTGCTGTTAAAGTAGAACATGGCCAGGCACAAAATTCTGCTGAAAGCAGAACTGGTGAAATTACTCCAGAGGCTTTATCCCACTCTGTTTTTCCTAGGCCTGCTTCCCCCCCCCTTCCCATTTTTATTTCCCAAGAATGCCTTTATGGATTGCAGTGGCATTTCTGAAGTTAAAGATGATATCAGCAACTACTCTTTTTCTTTAAAGCCATGTAAGTTTCCTGAAACATTTACGTTAGCAAGCAAAGGAATGGTCTATAGGCCCTTTGGTGCCTGCACTTATTGTATCCTGTGCTGGATTTCTTTAAGAGGAGGAGAAGGAACAAACAGAGCTCTTGTATATATTATGGGGTTTTTTGTACAAATCAATGGTGACTTCCAGATAATGGAATTATCTGGATCCTTCTTCCTGGACTATGTACGTTAGACTATGGAAGTTACAACTGCTGAGTAAGAAGGGTTAGACTTGCTTGTGCTCAAGGGAGAGGTGTTGGTACAACAATTAACCTCTGGATACTGTACTGAAAAAAAAGGCACAAGACCTATTAGAAACAATTAGAAACTGCCTGTTGCTAGAAGTGTGAATTCTTCTACCAATCTCTTTCCTGTGATGATAATATTCATACTGCCTTTTAGAGTAGTCAAAATGTTCCTGCTAATCCTCACAACTTTCTCAGATCAGTGCTGCTTCTGTTCCAGATTAGGTCCCTTCTTAAGCTGGTGATAGGGATAAAAGCTGAATGAGAGTTCATAATTCACTTAGGGTCAAAAGCAGAGTATTTCATGCATCCTTTTGCTCCATTGTTGAGCTACAGATCTGAGCTCCTTGGCCTGTAGTCTTCCCCAGAAATCTTAACACGCATCCCCCACAGACCTCTACAGCTGGTTTTAAAATGGCAATTAAAGAGAGAGAATGAGGATGAAAGCGAGTAAGTAACTTTGGTTGGAGAATAATTGTGCTCGAATTCATTTTTTAATAATGAAGTCACATTTAGGTTTTGTGCTCAGTTTTTGGAATGGGAATATCAGGAGAAGTTTGACTACAAGTACAGCCACTGTTCTCTATAGTCAGAGATGAAAAAAATGCAATCTGGGATAGTATTCAGCCCACCAGTTTCCTCTGTGGCTCCCCCAAAATGGTTGAGGGCCAATATGACCCTCATTTTGTATTTTGTGTGATGGGGCGGGCGTGGGGGCTAGAGGCAAAAGAACTACCTTTAAGTCTCGTGGTTACTTAGAATACTTCTCAAAAATCCCGAAATTCCCTCTAAACAAAGGACGTGGCTTAGTCCACTTTTGGAGTGCAATTCTCATTGTTCTAAACAAAACCATGGGTAAACCTTGAGCTGATAGCAGTTGTGTATCCCTGATATAGATGAAGGACAGGCAGATAATAGATCTTAATTGCTTGGTATCGGTCCTGCAAACATTAATTGCATTTGCCTCTGATTAGCTCATCATGCAAAGCTGCTTATTAATCTAGTTTAACGAAGAGAAGGACGAGGGGGGACATGATAGCAGTGTTCCAATATCTCAGGGGCTGCCACAAAGAAGAGGGAGTCAAGCTATTTTCCGAGGCACCTGAAGGCAGGACAAGAAGCAATGGATGGAAACTAATCAAGGAGAGAAGCAACCTAGAACTAAGGAGAAACTTCCTGACAGCTAGAACAATTAACCAGTGGAACAACCTGCCTCCAGAAGTGGTGAATGCTCCAATACTGGAAGTTTTTAAGAAGAGACTGGACAGCCGTTTGTCCGAAATGGTGTAGGGTTTCCTGCCTGAGCTCGGGGTTGGACTAGATGACCTCCAAGGTCCCTTCCAACTTTATCATTATCATTATCATCATCATCATCATCATTATTATTTATTTATTTATTTATTTATTTATTTATTTATTTATTTATTTATTTATTATTATCTCGGAGGGGATTTCACTTGCATTTTTTGCATGCCAAACCTGTGTCCTGATCTGTATTGCATTCCCAGACATCAGCAGAGATGGCTTTTCAGTACTATTTCTTTCTTCCTCCTCTTCAGTTTTGTCAGGAGCATCGGTGTCTGTTAAATATGATCAAACATTTATGCATGTCCTTAACCTGCATTATTTGTGCAAGTCACAGGATTCAGGGTTCTTTTGAGAGGGGATTTTGTGTCCCTTGATGGCAAATGCTGATTTCTCCCGAATCCACTAACCTAGAGGATTCCTGTGGGGAGGAGAGAAAGCCAAACAAGAGTTTATGCAGGTATTCTCTTGACTCTAGCTTACAAGGTTTATCTTCTCTTTTCTCAGGATCTCCGTGAAGAATGCATAAAGCTGAAAAAACGGGTCTTTGACTTGGAGCGGCAAAACCAGGCTCTCAGTGATCTTTTCCATCGAAAGCTGACTTCTGGGTCTCTCTCCCAGGTATTTCCGTTGCCTTTTATCTCCCTTCTTTCTTACGTGTAGACACGATTTGTTGGCAGGGTGGGTGGGTTATAGGTGACCGCATATAGAGAGAGCCTTGGGATGATAGTGCTGGAAAGAAGATTGTTTATGTAGTTCAAATGTTTGGGGAAATTTTGCATTTACAGCTGGATCATCTTATTCTACGGTACCTTTATTTCAGTGGTTCTCAACCTGTGGGTCGGGACCCCATTTGGGGTCGATCGACCATTTCACGGGGATCGCCAAGCAAGGC